TCCTGGACGGGCGTGCTCCAGATCTTAGAAAAAAAAGGACATTTTGGAACATCGTGGAAGCATCGTTCTCTGGGTGCTCCTAGCAATCGACAGATTCGTCGGTTCGTCCGCGAGAAGCCGCCGAAAGCCGTAATCAACGCCCCGGGGCCCACCGAGTGTTTCACCGGCAGCGTCCATCCACTAGTGACGAAAACCGACTTTTACGAACTTTATTTCGAACTTTATCCGTGCGTTTTGGGGTGCTACCTCGTCTAACAAGTAATTTGTAAGGAAAATTTCTATGTTTAATAAACGGGTTAAAAATGGTAAACCTGTCTCAGGAAGTCATTCTGCGCCCACACGACAGAAAGAACCGCTCGGCTGTCGAAAAACCCTCACCCAAATCGGCTGACCTCACATGTGATACAAAATATGTACAGTACAGGTTTGTGTTTAATATATTTTTTCGTAAATGATCGGTTATCCGAAAAATCAGTTATCCAAACAAACCCCAGTCCTGAATTGTTTCGGATAATCGATGCTCTACCGTACTTGATACAGCCACCAGTCAGCAATTTGCTGCACATTTCTTAAGTTGCATGACAATTTAATGATAAAATAATATAAGGAGAAAATTTAAAATATTTCAAAAATATTGAAAAACTGTGGATAATTAAATATATATCACAGAAACAAAAATGATTACAACTGAAACTGCTTATGTCACATATATAAAAAGTTACTGTCAAATTTTAATTTACAGTAATAAGTTTTTTTATTAATTTAAAATGATATATGATTAAATAATAAATATAATTTTATTTCAAAAATATGTCAATGAAAATTATTCCATGTGCCATAGATTGCCAATCCATGGTCTATATATATTATAGGTGTGATAAATTTATGTGTGATAAATTTATTATAATATTTCTATAATAAATTTATCAAGAGTGTCTGAGCATAAATTAATTTTTTAATTCTAAATTATCATATAATATTCTTTACAGTTGGGAAATAAAATTTTATGTTGTAATAAAAACCATAATTGGCTATATTTAAAAGAATAGACTATAAAGAAGGTAATTATTTGACTTATAACTAAAGAATTTGTTCAAACACAACAATAAATTCTAATGATTACATATTTAAGGAATTCAATACACAACTTACTTTTTATTTTCATGTACTCTCTGCACATTGGACTGGAAAAACTGGTCACTAAAAAAATCTAAAGAACCAGAAAATACAACTCTTGCATTGTTTCTTGCTTGAACTGCAGAAATTAGTAATGTACTTTTTCCAACTGCATGAGGATACTTGATAATGAAAAGAATATAATGTTGTTAATCATATTTTAAAAAAATGAATTTAATAAATAAATTACAGTTTACCTCAGTAATTTTATTATCCGGATTGTAGCAATATGCTGTTGACGATGCTGTTAAAACTTCTAATATTAACGGGTTATCATTATCAGCAATTAATCTGTAATTTTTTAAATTAATTACATAATTAAACATTAAGTAAGTGTAATATTAGATATTGATAAATTTACAAAATACTTACCCTACACCTCTATACAGAATAGGAGGAATATCTTTTTTTCCTACAATAGTTGGAGCATCTAACAGATCTTTTGGTGAAGCAACAATTAATGTGTGCTGGAATAAATTAAATATTAATTGTGGACTGCAGTAACTGAATTTTATTGATTTAAACTAATTAAAATTTTCCTTTTCAATTTAATATTAAATGAAATATACTTTTCCATCATCTGAAGCATCATAGTTAAGGTGATCAATGACAGCAGAACCTTCTTCATCTATCTCAAAGCCACATTCATTTGCTAATTCTCTCATGATATCACCTAAAATGATACATAAAAATTAGAATAAATATCAATTTTTTTCAAAAACTAGAATATAAAAATTTTTATTACTACTACATATATTTATGACTACAGTGTCTGTTTCACAATCATTACAAATTATAGTTAATAATATATTTTAATTTTTATAACTAATTAAACTTTGAACATCAAATATACAAACGAATAACAAAACATATTTTTCATAATAAAACGTAAAAAAATTCAGTTAGCTTTGATCATTTAAGTTGTCAATATTAGTATTCTAGTCATTTAATAATGATTAAGTCAATTTAAATAGTATTTATAATTATTAATATAAAAAACAAGACAGCAAAAAAATTTGATTAAGTCAAAAACAATTAAACAGAAAAATAAATAAAATTTTAAAAAGAGTTATATTTAGACTATTTATATTGAAACAGATAAGAATGTTATTAAAGTATGAGGAATTATCTATCATACATTTTAATAATAAAAAATTTAAACTAAATAAATGAATTTAGAAAGATCTGGAAAACATCAGCATATAAAAATTCAAACCTAGAAATCCAAATCAGATGTGTATGTGTCTAATACAAGTAGTATAACATTAGCTACTTGTATTAGTTTAAATACATACATACAATTGCACACTTCATGTCATTGTATATACTAATATAAATATAACTATATGACTAGTGTAATTATGTACAGTGATACCCCAAACTTATGCAATAGGTGGGACCAAGTGATAACCACGTAAGTTGAATTTGCATAAGTCAGAGTATAATTTCGCAATTTGTGTAAAATCCAAGTAGGATGAATGTAAGCTAATAAATGTTCTCGTTAATCTTATCTCGTCTTTTGATTCGTTCACGGTTACAAGAAATCACCACATAGAGTCTCTCAAGTCTCCGTAGATATAACAAACATAGAAATAAATAACACAAAATAAATTGTAGCTATGTGTCGATTCCGCGCAACACGTCCAAACATGTAAGCTGAACAATAGTGTGGGGGGGGAGANATCTATCATACATTTTAAAAATAAAAAATTTAAACTAAATAAATGAATTTAGAAAGATCTGGAAAACATCAGCATATAAAAATTCAAACCTAGAAATCCAAATCAGATGTGTATGTGTCTAATACAAGTAGTATAACATTAGCTACTTGTATTAGTTTAAATACATACATACAATTGCACACTTCATGTCATTGTATATACTAATATAAATATAACTATATGACTAGTGTAATTATGTACAGTGATACCCCAAACTTATGCAATAGGTGGGACCAAGTGATAACCACGTAAGTTGAATTTGCATAAGTCAGAGTATAATTTCGCAATTTGTGTAAAATCCAAGTAGGATGAATGTAAGCTAATAAATGTTCTCGTTAATCTTATCTCGTCTTTTGATTCGTTCACGGTTACAAGAAATCACCACATAGAGTCTCTCAAGTCTCCGTAGATATAACAAACATAGAAATAAATAACACAAAATAAATTGTAGCTATGTGTCGATTCCGCGCAACACGTCCAAACATGTAAGCTGAACAATAGTGTGGGGGGGGAGTGAGTAATCAAGAGCTGCGTGGCGCTCAAACAAAAGACGAATCAAAGAGATTTGAAAATCGCGTAACTCCGGGTTCGCGTAAGTCGGGGTAGCGTAAGTCGAGGTATTACTGTATTAATTTTGAATTCTATCCTCATCTAGAAGAGAGCATTCTGACTAGCAAATACTAATGTATCCTAAAACTTGCATGAATTATGGACTATTTTCAACTCATCCATATCACAGTTAACAAAAAATACATATACTCACATGATAAACTATAATATTGTATATAGTTGGTTTGCTGTATGTTAAATTAACAATGTAAATTCGTCTCTGTAATCCAAAACACACGCTTTGGTAGACTTATCTCACAGCAATTTCTGGTTAGCAAATTTAACTTTTATTTCTCATTGAACTACAAATATATTTCAGGTTGGTATAATATACTCCAACCCCTCTTCAGTGCTAGTTCAAATAAACAAAAAGTGTTAAAACATGACTATGTTATATTACATTAAATGAAACAAACCAAAAAACACTAAAAACACTTACATTTTTTCATTAAGTACACAACAAAAATTGTTTCTTATTTTGCTTTTTTCACAAACTAGGGGGTAGGAGGGTAGACCGTTTTACAAACATCAATTTATGTTTTAACTTAAATACTATGCATACCATATTAATATGTAAAATACAAAATAAAGATTGCTATAGTTTAACTCGAAGGAAAAATTGATACTAAGGACGGATGAATTCAACGTCTGTTCTCCAGATGTCCAGTCTGCAAGGTGGGGACTTTTCACTCCTCTATCCCCTGACCAAGTGATCTCTTCCCCTGGTTCTCCGAATTTTTGACCATTGCAGATATGGGGGTTAAGGGGAGTGGTATATTTGTAGTTCAATGAGAAATAAAAGTTAAATTTGCTAACCAGAAATTGCTGTGAGATAAGTCTACCAAAGCGTGTGTTTTGGATTACAGAGATGAATTTACATTGTTAATATAATATTGTAGTTTACATTCATCCCAAAACTATTCATTTGCATTCTGTTAATATTCAATACTAATCTATTGGCTCTCATTAATAGTTAAAAAATTATTGGGTTGCAAGTTGAAAAAATTGTACATCTATAAATTCCTACTATTGTCCATCTATCTGTTTTTCCTTAATCTCAAGAACAGTTAGATAAAATTTGAGACCAGATATGGAAACTTTAGGGGCTGGAGGCACTGATTAACTATATACAAACTTCTGATACAAACCAGAAGTCATGTTATTTCAATTAAAAAATTTTCATCTGAAAGATGTTAGATCAGTGTTTCTCAATGAGGGTGATATCACCCCCATGTGAGTGTTTTTCCATGTTGAGGGGGCAATTAGTAATAATTTATATTTTGGGGGGGTGAAAAACAATTTTCTGGGCAATATAGTAAAACATTATATTAAGAATAATTAGATATTTTATTCGTTATATTGTACAATAATTAAACAAATAGCATTAGTCTATTCAATGCAGTACAAATTTGGCATTAGCCTTGGCCCTCAGCATCAGAATTTTGAAGTGAAGGGAGCGATATTACGTAATGGTTTTATTGAAGGGGCGATGATTTGTTCGAGGTTGAGAAACACTGTGTTAGATAGATGACTGGCACAACTATTGTTAAAGGAAAAGTATGATGTACAGGGGCAAGATGCTACTAATTTGAGGTATTTTAAATTAAATAAATTAAAAATATGATTAAAAATTGCAGCCTGGCATTGTGACAATGTCACAATAAATAATTGCTTGTTACTTATGAGTAGATTTCAAGTGAAATCTATACACACACAATAAACTTGATCAAGAAGTTCAATTTCTTTCCCATAAGATGTGTAAATTTTTCCTGGATAAAATGTTCTTGTTTAAGAAATTTTCTGCTTAAATAAACAGAAATTCTTGTTCATGACTGGAAAATGGATTTGCTTAAGAAGTTTTTCAGCTGCATTCTATCAAAAATTTGAGCTACTTTGCATGATCTTGGGCTACTTTGAACATGGAATTTACAATGTTCTTATATGATAATCTGGCAAAAATACTTGCTACAAATAGCAAGTTCTGACAAGCTTAATCAATACATGGATCATACAGTAAAGTTAAAAAATATACAGTTTCACAATGGGCAACTGCTCGTTATGCCAATAACACAATAAAAAGTTTCAATAGTTCTTATCTCCCATACTTGTCCATTAAGAAGGCACTTTATGACCAACAAGCAGTTGTCTAGCTGTGGCATTTTCTTCAGTTATCGTAGAACACAGTCAGCAATATGGATCCAAAGTCGAATTTCCCCCTTCCATGTCAGCTGACCAATCAGCGGCTATGCTAGTCGTAGCTCTATTCTAGGTCCACCACATTGCGTGATGTTTTCGCCAATGGTCTCTTCCTTGAGACACATGCGCCACCAATTCAAATTTAACCAATCGTGTTCCCCAACGATCTCTCCTCGGCAGCATTCATTACCAGTTCAAACTGACCAATTGTGTTCATTACACAATATCATCATTACACATACTGTCCTACTTGGATGGTCATGGGTGATACTATAAGACAATTTCTGACAAATTTTAATATGGTATTTGTAGATCTATGGTTTTGTTAATGGAAATCATAACACATTCTTTTTACATAACAAAACTGATGAAGCATTAGACAAAAATCTAAATAAATAGATATTATACAAGTTAAATTCACTAATGTAGCAGAACATTATTGAACAAATATATTTTATTGAAAAAATAGCTAAATTATTTTAATTTCTGCATAAGTTTTTTTAAATTGGTCCCTCAAAAACCTTCTTAGTAGAGTTCTATTGTATTTATTTTCTAAGATATAAATAATAAATATATACAGTAATTATATACTTAAAATACAGTAGAAGTTCATTAATCTGGCACCTATGTAACTGGTAATTCATTATTATTAAAAATGTCAAATTATCAGACTTTTTTTCAGAAAATTGAGGTTTATGCAATCTCAGGCCTCAGAACAGAAAATTACTTCAAATTAAGCAAGAATAGTAATTCCCAGCAAGAAAGAAGTGACTAAACAGTGACTGAAATAAAATTAGTTGGCCATGATGATATACATTATTTGTAAGGGGTTGAGTCCGAATGTTATTTTATATTTATGAGTTTTGCTGCATTTGATGTTATAATTTAGTTTGAGAACATTTTCTTTTGATTAAAGGACAATAACTTATTTTCATTATCAACAAATAGTAATTATGAATAAAGCAATCATAATTTGTTATTATGACCAGAAACTACCACAAATTGAGTTTCTGGCTATTGGCAGCATAATTTAGAACTAATGCTCACACAGGGTCAGACCAGTGTCTCCCAACCTTTTTTGTGCTATGCCCCACCTAAGCCTTTCTAATATTCTTATGCCCTCCTAACATATACAGCAGCTGTACGGTTAACTTAAGCTCTGGACGAGTCCAGAGTTTAAGTTAACCGTACAGAGTTTAAGTTAACCATACAACTCTGGACAAGTCCAGAGTTTAAGTTAACCATACAGTTTAAGTTAACCGTTAAGTTAACTGTAATTTAACCATTAAGTCCATTTTTGAATTGCCCCCCTGTGGAGTGTGGGCCCCATGTTGGGAAATACTGGTCCAGACATTTGTGTGCAATTCTTGCTTCTGCATAAAAACAGTGTCAATTGTGAATTCTGGTCTGAAAAGTTCATTTTCGTGTGTTTTTTCCTCTTCTCGCATTGTTTCACTATTTAAATGACTATAAATGAACTTTGTATAACTCCTCAAAAAGTTTATCATTTTGCAATAGTTTATCATACTATTTATTATAAATATAGATAAATGAAGACAGTTAAAAATTAAAAGGGAAAGAACCTGTAGCATAATAGGAAAAGCTCATTGAAAAAATTCAAAAATATTCACGTAATGAAATCTATACTAATATTATAAAGAGGTAATGTTTGTAAGTAAGTAAGTTTGGATGTAGCGGGTAACCTCCGAAACTACTCATCCGATTTCAAAAATTCTTTCACCAACATTTAGAATGGAACTTCGGGGTGGACATAGGCTGTATATTATTCCGGTAAACATTCATATAAATTAAAAGATATCATCTAGGGTTAAGGCTTTTATGTCCAACAGATGGCGCTATGAGTATGATGATCTAAGTTTGCTTTTCTGTGAGGCATTATGCTTTTCTGTGAGGACGAACTAAAGTAGATCATCATCTATCTATCTACATAAATAAAAATGTAATGTTCGTTTGTTCCTACCGATTCCTTTGAAATTTTGACACAATGCTGCATTCAAATACGCACATGTTTTTATATAATATACATGTCAAAATTCCCTCCATCGGGGGGAGATGGTTAGGATTAAGGCTTACCGTAAAGAACGCTGCTTCTATTTATACTATTTTAGATGCGGTTTTTTGCGCTTTTTATTGCATTTTAATAGGGTACGTCAACAGAATATACACTAAAAAGGGATTTTTCAATATTCCCTTGTGGGGGAGAGGGACAGGATTAAGGCTTACTTAGGGTACGTCAACAGAATATACACTAAAAAGGGATTTTTCAATATTCCCTTGTGGGGGAGAGGGACAGGATTAAGGCTTACTGTGAAGAACTCTGCTTCTATATATGCTAATTTAGATGCGGTTTTTTGCGTTTTTGATTGCGTTTTAATAGGGTATGTCAACAGAATGTACACTAAGAAGGGATTTTTCAAAAAATTTCCCCATGGGGAAAGTGTTATACATTTATAATAGATACATTTTGAGCCACAACAACGCGTGACGGGATCTGCTAGTATATAAATATAGGTAATCATAATTATTAATATAGATAATTATTCTATAATTTCTTAACATTAAGTTTATAAATCAATTGCCAAAATATAATTAAATTTTCTTTAATTTCATTAAAGAAATAGAATGCTTACAAGAAACACAAATTTATTTTTTTTTTTTAAATACAAAAAAATATTTAAATCAGTAAATTTTGAATTAGAAAGTTGGTTTTTGTTAAAATCCAATATTTGATCAAAAATGTTTTGATTACCTACCTACTGAAGAACTTGCTCCCACAAGTACATTTCCACCATTATCTATGAAGTCTGTTATGGCTTGGACATTTAATGATCCTCCAAATTCTGAAATTAAACATAGATTACACATAACTTTTTAAATGCCTGTTGTATGTAAATTATATATATATATAAATTAATAATTAAACTTATTCCATGTTTTATATATTTGTAGATCTCAACCTAAAACATATTGCAGACCAGTAATTTTTTCAAATTTTCTACCCAAGACTGATAAAATATATTTGTTTTTTTGGATACAATAAATTCTTCAGTCATTAAAATAAATAAATTAGTTAATAACTAAAACAAAAACAAAATTCAATATAAAACAATAATTACAATGAAGAGTAATCAGTATGATCCCTGCTTCTTATCAACTAACTTTTTGATTCTCATTTCTAACATTACAATAAAATTTACAGAGTAAAAAATAAAAATATATGTTTATCATTTAAAAAAAAATCTATTTACATCAATGCTTTTTATGAATTCACCAAACTATTTGTTTGGGATGTAATTTTTCAAACCATTCTTAAGAAATGATGTTTTGGTGACTTTTCGTTTGTTGCATATTTACATATTTTTAAAGTCAGTTGCCTATTCTTTCTTTCATATCTCATCTCAAATTTTTATGTATAATTCTTAATATTTCAATATATTAGGTAAACTTAGAAAACACTATATACAAAATTTATTTTTGTGTTTATTTGAAGTTTATAACACTATAAAACAACTTTAATTTTCAATTAAACTGTACATATCTCCTAGTATTTTTGAAGATACAATATCATCTTCATTGGATGCTTGAACCATATAAACAATATGTGTATGCAAAGTAAATAATTGTTGAGCCATCCCAGTTTTGCCATCAATGTCGAATTCAGTAGTTAGCTTTTCAAGGATATACGTGTTACAGAGTCAAATGCTTTTGTTACGTCTATGGAAACAACATACATAGGACACTTAGATTTGAATTTAGATAAGATAGTGCTTTGCATTTTCAGGATGTTGCTAGTAGTTGAATGGTGGATAATACAGATTAATATATTACATAAAATGATTAATTCTACAAGAATTATAATTTTGTATATTATTATATTAATTTAAAACATAAAGAGTTAAAATGCATAATCAATAATCAATTTAAGAAATTCCTATAAGTAGTAATTAGAGAGATTTTACTAAATTATAAAAAAAATTAGTAATAGATACATATTTTGCAACATAAGCTTGTAATTAAACATAACTTTAAATATTAACATATATTCAAAAAATAAAATTTTGATACAACAAAAACATACCTTCAACTGATGGTGAAAATATTATAAGATGTTGATATAAATATTCACCATATTTCATTAATGTCAAGCCAGGATCGTCTGCAGTTTTGTAAGTCAACTGAAAACCAAGATCTAGAAAAAAAAAAAATTGGTTCTATTTATAATAATCAAAGTAATATTCTGATAAGTTTAGCTATATTGTATAAAGCAAATGCATCTTTTGTAGTCAATTTTTATCATAATTAATGTAATCAATATCCTTTAAATTTGACATTCATATAAAATATAAATAAAATTCAGTAAAACTTCTCTAACTCAAACATCTATAACTTGAATATTTCTTTAACTCAAAAAACAAAGCATTTCATAGGTCTCAATGGAATAGCATAGGTATTTAATGTCTCCAACTTGAATTTCTTAACTCGAATTTTTTCCAAGTCAAACTTTTTCATGGTCCCCCGATATTGATTTATGTTATTTTCAACTTCCCCAACTCAAATTTTAATTTTCTTTACAAATTTGAAACCATATCTTCAGCCCTATGGAGTCTAATTTTATTAGACACAAAGCAGTTTTTTTCCATTCTTTATTTATTTATTCGTCAATACATGTTTCAGATCTCTGTTACCACTCTTTAGTTAACTGTTACAAAATGTACATTCAATTACAACATGGTATTAGTTTTATACAATCACCTATTTATCAAGAGACATACCTTTTTATTCTGTTGTTTATAGTTTCAAATATATCAGTTAATTTGTATAATATTAAAACATATTTTCTTAAAAAGGGGGGTGCATGTATGGTTATTGGCTTTTTTCTCTTCTTCATTCGCCTGTTTACAAATTATATTTAGTTATAACACAATATTAAATTTATAAGATTACTTTTCAATAGACATACCTTTTTATGCTTTCTAGGATATTTAATATGTTTTAATATTATACAAATTAACTGGTGTATTTGAAACTATAAACAGAATAAAAAGGTATGTATCTTAATAAATAGATAATTGTACTGTATAAAACTAATATCAAGTTGTAATTGTATATACATTTTGTAACAGTTGACTGAAGAGCAGTACCAGAGACCCAAAACGCATATTGACCAATGAATAAATAAAGAATGGAAAAAACCACCTTGTGTCTAATTAATGCTCTTCATGGTGCTGAAGGAAAAAAAACCCAACAAAAAAAAAAATCAAATTTTAATATTTATTCTAACCAAAGTGATCCTAATTATCGGATTTCCACAAAATTTTTACAGTTAAATCTACTCTCCAACACCAATTTTCAAGACACTATTCCAGTCCAAAGAAAGAGATGACCTATCACTTTATATCAACAAAATGTACAGTAATGCAAAACTGTTTGATTCCAATTGAACATTTTTCTGAAAAGCATTAAACAGGCTGTTTAAAACAAAATAAAACTATCAAAAATTCCTTATATGATGCAAGAGGTAAAAATACAAATCTAATCAGCATTTTTTACTCTATTGTTCTCTGACTTGAATCATCTGTAACTAAAAGTGTTTTCTACCTCTTGGAGCTTCAGGTTTGAAAAGTTTTACTGTAATCTTATTTAAAGTTTCTTTTAATTTTTAAATTATTAATCGGCATCATCTTTTATTTATAAGATAGTAAACAGAGAAAAATTAAGATAATGCATTTATTGCCTGTTTTGTGTTTAATCTTAAGCCTTAACATTTTAGGCCAGAGGTCAAAATTTGACAATCTACTGGATTTTCTGCATTTTCAAAGTCATTAATATGATTAAGTTACTTTGATTATTTGTTATATATCTTATTTTTATATACCTTGTTATTGTTTAATAATTTATATAGCATAAATACAGTACGTTTTATTATTTTATTTATTAATGTTGTAGTTTATATAGATTATTAGTCTATTTTTATTTTATTTATTTATTAACTTATCATACCATTTGACATGGCACAGAATAGCCCATATGGTTTCATATCAAAAAAACAATCAACCAACAAACATTTTAAATAATATTTTATGATTTCTAAGAGAGTCACTGTAAAAAGGTAAAATTTTCCTTTTTTAATAATAGATTATACACGTTTTCTTTTTTTAACTTTGAGAACAGAACTCTATTGCTTGACTTTCAGACATTTTACTTTTGTCACAGTTTTTGGAACGCATTGTCTGAGAATTAGGGTATGTTCGTTAATAGCCGTCACTCTGCATCTCCACTACTACAAGACTGTGCTGCTGTTTGTAGGCATTTAGGAATGACAGTGAAAGAAAGTAAGATGGTGGCAATTGTACTATCGATAGTATCTTAATAGAAGGATCTATGATTTTAAAATATGCATTTTTAAAGACAAAAGTAGTATCTCAATTGTAAAATTTAACCATAAAATGGATTATCTTGCTGACAGAGCATAAAAAAAAAAAAAAAAAAAAAAATAGAATGTTGGCTACCACTCAAAAAAATTCAAGAAGACACTTACATCACCAAATGCACTAATTTGCACTTTCACAACCTCTAAATTTTCATTCATAAAACCACATAATGGACCCTTAAACAAAACTATCTGAGCACGGAGGATGCTATATTGCTTTCCACCATAAACTACTGCTACAAGTGACTGTTTTTGCCGTTCGACAGTGCACACTCCGATCAGAATTTAGGAATGCATTCCACAGGAATTTTTAAACAGATGTCATTCATGTGGAGTTACATGGAGGGATAAAAGAATGCACCCTTACTGATTGATTTATTTATAGTAACTGTCACAAGATTGTTGTGTACTATTGACATCCTGCTAAAGTTGTAGGCCATCCCTGTGTGTGGAAAAAATCAAAAAGAAAAACAGGTCTAGAAGCAATTTTTCATAAAATATGGCCCTTTGAAACTTGCTTCTTGTAGTATTGAATGATTTGCAAAACTTGATGAAAATCTAAAATAAGAAAATTATAACAGTAACTATTGACTTCATCATTTATGTATGACTCTATAATTTATGAATTTGAGGGAAGCATTCCTTCAAATTCATAAATTATAGAGTCAATAGTTATGAGAAAGACATTTATGCTAGCTAGGTATAGTGTTCAAAATACGTGGTGTTCAGCTTAGAGATTTAATAAAGAAAAATTTATAACTTGAATTTATTTGTATCAGATTGGAAGTCAATGCGTATTTTACGTAGACATCTGTGACCATTTGCGAGAAACACCATATTGTGGTACTACAGTCACTAGAACAAGCACAGAATGGTAAATACAGTACATTAAAGAAGATCTAGGTGATAGGCCACAGTGACTGGAAAAAGTTATTTGGACAAGATGCAACTTATATTAAGCCTCAACTTCCTCCTGGCATCACTATTTAATAAGATGGGGTCCTTCCCCCTTTATTATTCAGATATAATAATTTCTGAACAGAGTTTCCCAGATTGTTGACTAGAAGAGGAACTGAAGCATTTGCTTGACCTCCACATTTGCCAGTTCTTACCCATTGGACTTTTTCTTGTGGGTTTTATGAAGAACAAAATGTACCTGCACATTATATATATATAAGATCAGTTTTTAATATGTGGCCATATCTTAATTAAGGTGTGTAAGGAAAAATTTATGTGAAGAAGTCTCATTCCTGGACTTATGGTTCCTGTTTAGATTTTTATTCATTTAGAAATAACTCTAGACAGATACCAGTAATGTCAAACAGAGAAAACCTTGCTCCTGAGAGAAAATAACTATTTATATTAATCTGTAAATTTGTTACAATAATTTATTTTATCAGCAACATTTGATCTTTGAAGGTACAGTGGAACCTTGGTATACGACCTTAATCCGTTCCTGATGTTTGGACTTATACCAAATAGCACATATACCAAACCAACCTTTCCCATAAGAAGTAATGTAAAAATGATTAATCTGTTCTCATGTAAAAAAAATATGGCTGGCTTTAAACACCTCGCTTTCCTGGCTAGTTCCTGCTTGATTTTTCATGAGATCAACATGTATCTTTTTAGCTTTCTCGCAAATAATTGCTTCTGATAGAATGTCGCCAGCACACTGTTTTTCAGTTATCCAAGCAAAAGCAATTTCTCAACATAATCTAATATCTTCGATATCTGTTTAGAAATTGATTTAACTCCTTTCAAATGTTAGCAGATTTAATAATATCTTTATTTTTCATGATTATTGATATTGTCATTCTTAGAATATGGTATGCAACAGTTAAATCTCAAACACACATGCCACCTTCATATTTCTCAACAATCTCTTTTTTTCAGTTCCATTGTGATTCTAGTCATTTTTTTTTATTTTCTGTTGCTTTTCATTTGTCTTTTTGCAATTCATGATTAATAAAAATAATAAAATTTTACTTACAAATTAAAATCATTAGAAATTTAACAAAGTCATAAACCGTGGCACAGCTAGTCTGGTCTAGTATACCAATAGTGCTACTTGTTCATTGATGGCGCGTATAATTGAATTAAGTAGTATACTGAGCAAAATTTGTTTCATCCAAACAGGACGTATTCCGAATTGGACATATTCTAAAGCAGACGTATACTGAGGTACCACTGTATTTCAGTCTGATGACAACCGTTCAACACAGGTGGAAACATTTGCTTTTGTATTTCCTGCTGGATTTTGGTTTTTCTTGTAGTGCTTAATCACATATATCTAGTTTGTATCATTAAATTTTTCCAATACATTTACGATGGACAATTCATCCTATCTAACACTATTATACATTACACAGCAAGTCCTCACTTAACATTATCAACAGACTTTTGGAAATTGTGACATTAAGCAAAACTATATAAAACCAATTTTACCACAGGCTTAATGATATAAACAAGATATAATTTGGTTATTATTATTATTATTATAATTAAATCACGTTTCCAACTTCCAGCACTTATTTTCCACCTCATAGAACCAATTTTACTGCTTATAAAGAAAATTCAATAACAACAAATGAAAATGATTACAAATGTATTCGTATCTTTTCTCAATGACATTATAACAAAGCGAAAGTTAAATGAAACTGCTAAACGTGTATTTACTGTATACTGCTCCCAATATATTTATTTTATTTTCACCAATGATGATAATTAGAGGCAAAAAACTTTTTCAGTTATATAATGTTATATAACTTATATAACATTCATTATATAATATTCAGTTATATAAATGTATTCGCTTGTTAACATTAAAATATATCAAATATAAAGATGAATGTGAGCCTTTAATTTATTAATTTTTAATTCCTCCTTTTGATTTAACATTCTTCAACAAAATAGGCATATATTCACATATCACTTCATGTAATTTTACATAATTTGTATATATTAATACATTATATACATGCACAGCATTCACATTCAAAATTTACATATACAGTACATAAATAACATACACACTGTGGCAGATTACTCAATAGGTGTGTACCTTGCACCTCATCATCACAAGGGGCCTCAAACTACATAGCAAAAAGATAATATGCCTGCAAGACTTTGGTAAACATTTAAAATGTATATTATAAAGAAAAACTTGTTATTATTTAAGAATTTTATTTGTTAACAAAATTGTGCCTAGGCCTCAAAGGAACAATCTGCTACTGCCTACCAGAGTAAAAACACATATAATGCACACTGCAGGGTGTAGGAGTAGTGAAAATATTAGAGGGAGCCTCAAAATTGAATTGTGCCTGGAGCCTCTCAAGTGCTAAATCCACCAGTGCATACACACACAATTACATTCAGTAATTCAGCATTTAGTACATTCATAATTTACATATACTGCACAAATACACACAATTGTATGTGTGTATGTATTTATGTGCAGTATATGTAAATTATGACTGTAGTGAATGCTGTGCATGTATATGATGTATTGTTATATATACATATTTCAGATGAGAAAAACAGAGTTCAGCTGTAATCATAATTCAAATTGACAGAACAAATGCACAATAAGTATTACTGCAATTACTTTCATTTCCACAGAATAATATAAATAATATTTGCTTAAATTATATTTAAAATTCCATCTCACCCTGCAAAGTTTTGAAGAAAATGGAATGGCTTTCCCTAATTGCAAGATTGTCCAATAAAACGAGGGTTTCTTTATCAGCCGACGCTAAAGTTATGTACGAAGATAAAATAACTAATAATAATTTTATTAAAAGTATCATTATAATGCCTTATTTAAACGCCTTTTCCTCTCTCGCACACACGTACACACACGACGATTCACACCGGTGTAGATCGCGCACGTGGCATTAGCCATGCAACGTCATCGGGTGAAATAATAATAAAAAATTTACAAAGGAAATTATTTTATATTATTAATGATATTTAACTCTTTAGCATTAATAATTAATAAAAGTCATCTATTATTTTATCTTAAATAATTATTATTGCGATCCTTTTTTAAAACTTCCTGTGCTGTTTTGTTCTGTGGGCATTGTTCTTTATTTATGCCCTTTACTGTACAGTCGGATGGCTGAGCGGTTAAGATGGCTGCCTACCACTCTGAGAGACCCGGGAAATCAAAACGGGGAAAAAAAATCCCAGGAATTTTTCGGGGTGATCTGTCCGCATATGTCGGGCCCCGTCTCTCACCATCCGGCCGNGAAACAGTGGGGACGCACGTTCTAACCTAACCTAACCTATTCTAATAATTTGGTTGGTAATAATTATGGTAATTTATTAGAATAGGTTAGGTTAGATTAGAACGTGTGTTCCCACTGTTTCCTTTCTTTTGTTTGCTGGAATCAGAGATGAGGATGGCTGAGCGGTTAAGATGGCTGCCTACCACTCTGAGAGACCCGGGAAATCAAAACGGGGAAAAAAAATCCCAGGAATTTTTCGGGGTGATCTGTCCGCATATGTCGGGCCCCGTCTCTCACCATCCGGCCGCACCATTGTGGGTCTCACTGAACTCATAATGGGCTTGCTAAAAAGGAACCTTCTTTGTTTTTACTAAGAGAAAAGAGTTTTAAAAAAAGGCCTTCACAAATTCGGTCAGCTCGTAATGGGCGATCGAGTGGCAATGGATGAGTCAGAAAGTTTGAAAAGATCTGACTGGAACTGAAGGCAAAAGGCAAACGATAAAAGAGACAGCGTGTTCAATCATAATAAATCAGTGGCGTACCGTGGGTGTCAGCCGCCCGGGGCGGAGAAAAATTTCGGCCCCCCTTATTTAGCAGGGGCGTGCCGTGACATATGATGATAGGGAAGCCGTGTTTCTATAAGAAGCCGACATCCAGGGGCAATCAGTTAATTCTTTCTTTAAATGTACTTTTAATAGATTATTTATTTGACGTACTTAATAAACAAGTTCATTATAATTACCTCTGTTATTAGATCCAATATATTCCATATGCCCTGTAAATGCCAATTCTTGCTTTGATAAAAACATATAACATCTATTTATTTAGATATAATATATCTATTACCCATAATTATCTCGTTACAATTTTCAATATTTATTTTATATTATTTACTAATGTTAAATTCTATTCCGCTTCGATTTCCAAATTGCTTCAAATACGAAAGAATCGACGATTTTTCGTGTCTTTTGCCAGCTAAATTGTCAAAG